GGCTTCATCCAACCTGGCTGTGAACACTGCCAGGGTTGGGGCATCCACAGCCTCCTTGGGCAACCTGTGCCAGTGTCTCACCACCCTCACAGGAAAAAAACTCTTTCTTAATATCTAACTGAAATTTCCCCTTTCAATTTGTACCCATTGCCCCTTGTCCTGTCCCTGCAGCTCCTAACACAGATCCCTCTGCAGCTTCCCTGGAGCCCCTTCAGCTCCTGATGTTTTAGTCGGTGCAGAAGTGTTGGGCCAGGCCAAAGTCCTGTCTGGACCCTTAATATGGTACCTTCTGTATCAGGACCGTGTGGGTCAATCAGCTTCGTGGACTCCTCTGGACTTGCTCCAACAGTTCCATGTCCTCCTTACGTTGAGGGCACCAGAACTGTGTGCAGTATTCCAGGTGGGTCTCACCAGAGCAGAGTAGAGGGGGAGAATCACCTCTTTTGACCTGCTGACCACACTCCTTTGGATGCAGCCCAGGATTTGGTTGACTTTCTGGGCTGAGCTCACACTGCTGGGTCACAGTGAGTTTCTCATCTGCCATCACGCCCAAGTCTTTCTCCTTGTTGCTCCCAATTACTTCTCCACCCAACCTGTAGGTGTGCCTGGGATTACTATGACCCAGATGTAGGACCTTGCCTTTCATGTCGTTGAACATCATGAGGTTTGCAGGTCTGGCGAAGTGTTCTTAAGGCAAGTCTGGCCTGTGTTCTTAAATCTCTCAAGATATCCAGTGTCTTCCTGTGGCTGGGCACCACTAGGCCTGTGTTGTGTACTGAGAAGTGAATAGGAAGGACAATATTAAAGCAGCCACAAGTGGTGATGAGTCCTTTGGTCTGCTGCCTGATGGCAATGACCTTGCTAACATGCATCACCTTTCCAGGGCTTCCTGTAAAGCTGGTTTCAGCAGCCTTATTTCTGTGTAATCTGAATATATGAGCAGGTTTGCTGGCAGTACTCACCCTCACTGCTGGCTTTGTAACATACCACTATACTCAAACTGCTCATGGTTGCAGACTGGAAGGTTAGCTGTTCTTACCTTAGTGAGATGGTGATGTTTCTGGGTCTAATAAAGTGCAGTTACTGTAAAATACAAGCATTGTTATGTCTTGCATTTTGTTTGCTTGTTTGCAGGTCACTGTTCTTTATTATATTGGAGTTTATTGTCCTGTTTAGTGTGGCTGCTTTTGTGTTTTATCAACAAAGGTGTTGATATAATCAATCTCAACACCTTAACTAAGTTTCTTAAAATTCTGCAGTGATATGATAGTGACAGAAAAAAAGAAAAAAGGTCAAAGTTCACAGGTACCTGTAAGACACTGTTTTGTATTTTGCCAGCAATTTTGGCATTCTTTATCCTCTGCCTTACAAATCTCCTTTTACCTTTACAACATCATATATATATATATTATTCTATATGAGCACGCATAGAACAGATTTCTGTTATTGATAAGATGATCAAAGTTGGTTCACTCAAGCTGGGAAATTGTCTCTATCCTCCTCCTAATACCACCTAGCATTTTTTGAAGTTGTTGCTCCAATACTTTGCTGACAATATGCTGTAGTCCTGAATTTTGTTGTATGGCTTTGGCTGGTTGGGTGTCCTGAGCTGAGCTATGTTTACGAATCTTCATTGCATGAATTTCTTCTAGAACTTTTTATTTACTCTTATGGCTATTATTTTGTAGGGTGAAGTTATCTTTTTAGTAATCTGATCCAAGGATTTTTGTTGAGTTCCCCAGTCTGACCTGGCTTTGAACACTACCAGAGTTGGGGCATCCACTACTTCCCTGGGCAACCTGTGCCAGTGTCTCATCACCCTCACAAGAAAAAGATTTTTCCTAATATCAAACCTAAACTTCCCGTTTCAATTTGTACTCATTGCCCCTTGTCCTGTCCCTGCAGCTCCTAACACAGATCCCTCTGCAGCTTTCCTGGAGCCCCTTCAGCTCCTGGAAGGTGCTCTGAGGTCTCCATACAACCTTCTCTTCTATAGTGTGGTTATATGCTTCCCTGGTCTAGATTAGTCTTTTTTCTTCAGGTTTTGAGCTACTTAGGTGTAAGCAGTTACTGGTGCATCTTTTCAAGGGGTTGTAGGTATAGTTCTTGCATTATCAAGTCCTCAAAGCATAACTGCTAAAGTGAAAGAAACTTTCAAGGGTTTTAAATAGTTAAAAATATTTCTCAACCCTTTCCTGAAGATCTCAAAGCTGTTAGAATCTTAAAAGAGGTTGGCATGCTCTCACTGTCGGTAATCACTTTAGTAGAGGAGCTGGAAAAATAGAAACAGTATAAAAGCATTAGTAAAAAATAAACAGCTGAACTGTTGAGAAATCCTGGCTAAATCCCAAGAAGTGAAAATCTGCAGGGATGTTGAAGCTGCCTTTGACAGCAGTCTCTGGTACAGCTAGGATCAGATTTTCATTGTTGCCTTTTGTGTATCTATTTCAGTTCTATCCAATATGCAATGAAGAAATAGAACAAGTGGGTTGTGTTATGGTTATTTTCTTGCTGTTGTTGATGTCACTAGCCTGGATACATTAGTGGAAGCTAACTGGAAAATGATGAGACCTGATAACTGCAAAATCTCCAATGTGATTGATATAAGCTGTTAATCCAGTAACCATGAGTAATGTTTCTTTTCTTTTAACTTGTCAGTTTCTGATTCCAGACTGGAGGTAATGTTGGGGCTTTTTTTCTTTTCACTTCTGCATTTTAAGTGGTTGGTTTGGAGTCAGAATGGTGTTTAAAACCCTGACTCTGTTTTGATATAAATATACTTCTTAACTAGACACAGGCATTTAATAACCATTTATTGCTTTGTAACATAACCAATTAGCAAGAATAAAGAATGTAAATATCTGTTGAGCTGTAAAGCTACTTAAATGTATGCAAATAGTTTATGGTCAAACTGTTCAAAGATACTAAGACTGACCTTTCTTTTAGAGAATAACGTGTGCAAATGCAAACCAGAAGCAGGGTTTTCTTTAATTATTTATCATTATTGAATGTGGTGATTTTTCCACTGTCTGATCTAGATGGTTCCCTCATTCTCAAACTTGGAGACAATCATTACTTGGATTGTGGTTGATCCTAGGGGTCTAACTTCTGGATCTAAGCCCCTTGTGCATGTCAGTATAGAACAGGATGATGGTTTGGCTTTGAGTTTGGGTTTTTTTCTGCGAAATAGTGTGAAGTTGTAATATCTGAAACATGAGCCTTTGCAGGTTGCTGAGGAGACAGTGACAGCTCAGAAGAAGAGCTAGTGGCCATAACATATGCTGGATCTGTCTGCTTTAAGCAGTCTACTTTACTCTGCCTATTCTTGTGTCATCTCATATGCAGTTAACCCATTTGACTTTAAGACAGCAACGTGATACTATGACTGCTGTGTCCTTAGGAGGAAGCTGTTTTGTCTGGGGCTGGTTCCCGTCGCTGCGAGCTGTGCAGGCATTGCTTTGGGAGAAATGCTTTCCAAAGGAGGTATTTCTGGCAGTGACATCACATAACTGTGTATCTTTAAATGCCTGCCAATAAGTGAGCTGTGAGTTTGTCCTTCAGTCATTGGAACGAGCTCTTTTCTCAGCTCAGGGCAGTTTGTGCGGCTGCACTCGAGGTGAGGGGAGCAGGATAGCACCTGGAGCAGTGAGGGAGCTCATGGACTGTTCTAGCATAGCCTTCTGAGCTTGGCATGGAAACTACAGAATTACAGCAGGTTTTGTTACCCCAGTCCTGTTCCCTTGTGGGTGAAATGCAGCTGTTAGGTAGTTAGCTGCTGTACACAATGGACCCACAGTGACTCCAGAGGAAACAATGTCACCTCGGCATCTGGTCGGTGTTTTTATTGGCACAGTTCCTTATGAATTAGCATTAATAACTCAGCTCTACTTTTCCTAATAAGTAGGAAGCAGAATTTGCAAGGATTTTGTCCTCTTGATCTTATAATGAGCACTCAAGAGCATGTACAACATACCCATGTGTTCTGCTCACCTGTCCAGTGCCCAAGCGTGCTCATGGGGTCAGTGAGTGGGGAAAATGCCTCAGTAAGCTGCTCTGTTTTCAGACTCTGACAGGGATACAATTTTAATGGGAATGGTAGATGTGACCATTTCCAGCCATGTCTTCCAGGTTTCTCAAGTGGGAAGCAGCTCTGGCTTTGAATCTTGCTGTAGGTTTTTTTCTTAAAATATTTATTGGTCACTCTTACTGGTCAGCTTAAAAAATTCCATTTTCTTTCGTGTCGGGTGTTCTTTGTTGTGTGTTTAGAACACCTTTCAAATTAGCCATGAATTTGGGCATTATATTTTCTGGTGAGTGTTCTGGGGGGAAAAAAAACTACTGAGCTGCTCTTTTCACAGCCAGCACGGAGGGATTATCCATTCATCTTGGAAGTGCAGGGCTTGGGCTTAGTCCTGGGGCAGGTGGGTTGTTGTTTGAGCTCATAGGGTTGTTGAAGCCTATCACTAAACAGCTGTTTGTTTTCCTAAGATTGCCAAAATGAAAATCTGGCAAAAGCAACCCCCTGTTTTGCCTGGTATGGATAACAGGTCTCTTGAGGCAAGATAACCTAATAATCAGCGTTGACATGTGTGAGATGAGACATTGTCATCTGTTGGATTTTTCAAAGCTGTTTAGCTTTATCCTTCAGTCAGTTTAAATGTTTGTGCCCCTATCTTCAGGGGAAACACTGTGTCTTTGTGTACTGTGTTGTCAGGAGTGGACTGGTAATCCACACCAAGTCAGTGCCTTGATTTGACTTCAGTGAAGAGGTTTGATATAAGTTATTACTGAGAGTAAATTCAGCTTAATATGTTGTATTTTGATAACAGTTTTTTCCTATGATATCCATCCCTCCTGTGCATGCACTATCCTTTCAGTCTCAAAAAATCCTGTATTTTCTTCTTTGGTAATATTATTCATAAAGCTTTGTGTTCTGGAAGCCAATAACTTTTTACAATATTGCAGTACCTGCTCTGGTCATCACTGCCACAGCTGCTAAAATGGAGGTGGTTTCAGCAGAAGTGAACAGTTTGCTCCCTGAGGAAATCATGGACACAGGCATAACTCTGGTGGAAGATGACAGCATCGAGGCAGTTATCGTGTCCTCACCCATAGGAGATTCTATTCCCATGGAAACAGAACTGGAAGAAATAGTGAGCATAAACTCCACCAGCGACTCCTCAGCTGCAACCACAGCCACAGTCACCACGGAATCGGTCACTGCCCCCACGGGTCAGTCGGGTGACGCCACGGCCAACACCACGACCCCAAAGCCTGATGCGAATGCAGCTGTAAAACCTGCCTTTCCCCCTGGCCTGCATAAACTCGGTGCTCAGGCCCCTGTCACTATATCAGCCAGTCAGATCATTCTGAACAAGACCACCGATATCAAAATTGGCAATCAGAGCATCAAACCGGATGGGCAGAAGCTCATTGTAACGACTTTGGGCAAGTCTGGCCAACCTATTGTCTTAGCATTACCCCACAGCCAACTCCCTCAGTCGCAGAAGACAGTGTCCCAGGCCCAAGGTGGAGACTCCAAGGTCCAAGGCCAACAGATCAAAGTTGTTATTGGAGGTCGCTCGGAAGTGAAACCTGTTGTTGGTGTCTCGGCGTTGACGCAGGGAAGTCAGCTGATAAATACTGCTGCCCAACCTTCTGTTCTGCAGTCCCAGCAAGTAAAAACAGTACAGGTAAAGTGAGTTATGCTGATGAAACGTCTTAAAGCCGATTTTGTTGTTGTCTGTTTCCTGCACTGATCGACTCACTGTTGCTTTCAGCCTTTGCATTTATTCTTTGTATGAAAAAATACAATGCTGCTCTTAGCCCATGCTTTCATCTGTGGATGCATTTACCATTTTATGCTGTTTTCCTCTAGCTACTGTCTAGAAGCAGGATTTGCCTCAGAGAAAGGAGCTATTCAGTAAACTGAAGTTTATTTTCTCATCATTTTAATTTTACTTAAATAAATTCTACATACTCTCAGGAAGACTGAATTGAACTCTATATGCCTGTTGTTCTTTATTCAAAGTGTACACTGCTTTACTCCTTTATGAAAGAGTAGCTTCTGCCTATTCCATTTAGTTTGTTTGAATATACTCTCTGAAAAAACTTCCAGCATCTGAAAAAGAACAGGGAGGTGTATCTTGTCTGCCTCAAATCTGGTTAAACTTGTTAATAGGTACTGGTAGATTAGACACTGTCAGAAGCTGAACACTTCAAGGTCTTGTTCCAAATCCCTGGCATGGACCTTGAGGTATTTGAAACCACAGAGAATCTTCCTGGATCTGTGTTGAAATTACTTGGGTTGTGACTCAAAGGGTCCAATTTTCACCTTATATAAGGCAGAAGTAAATGTGAATGACTGTTCTAGTTGGCAGTGAGGCAGAAATAAGGCCTCTTGAAGGAAAAGTAGAACCCAGTGCAGGTTATGATGGAAAAGTATTTATTTTACTGTCTAAATGAAATGAGAAATTAAACTATTAAGTATGCTAATAAAAATAATCAGCTGCACATGAAAAATAACAAAGTTTTGAAGCATTTTATAAGCTGAATGTTCCCCAAATAGTATTTCATGGCAAGTTTGTGTGAGCAACTCTCAAGAGTTTTTTCTAAACTGCAGATGATTCCTGCACCAATTTCTACTTTCTCCGTTTTGTTGCTACATCTTACCTGTGGAAACACATTTAGTAATGGCTCTTTGAAACATAAATTTTCTGAAGGGACTTAGAAGTAGTGATCAAGGTACCTAAGTGGTTGTCACTAGTTTTCAAAAAAGTCTTTGCTCTTGACTCAGCATAGGAACACCTAAGAGTGGGTCAGTTCCTGTGACTTGGCTTCAGTTCTTCACTGCAAGTGGGAGATAGAGGAAACTGAGGAGACTGACTTAGCTGTGATGTGGTTTTGTTTGCATGAGATGACCTGTTCTATCAGTGACTGAAATACAGTGACTTGGCAATTGATCTCTGCTGTTTGTCCTCAGGAATTCTACAGGTTTCTTAGTGGAAGCTCTTAAAAATGGGCTTGCATCTATTTGTAAATCTAATTAATTTCAGTTTGAGTAAATTTGTTTGGTTGTGGTGTCTTTTTATTAAACTTTTGCTTCTGTTTGCAGAACAGAATGAATTGTTAGCACCTGACATGCCTTTTTTCCTCCTTAAGGAATGAAAAGCAAGAAAGCAATGTTGGTACCAAATACTGCAGGGAAGATGATTACATTAGCACTTCACAGACAGTGCTTTTCCCTGTAGAAAACTACTTAAGTATCAGTGATATATGAGGCTAGGAGAGAGATTCATGGTCTACTGTACCATGAATGACAGGGGAGGTAACCCACACATTGAGTCCCTGCCTTAGAAAATGAAGTCATGCGTTTACCTCATCGTCCTGAACAAGCCCCTTAACCTTTCAGTGCCTGGAAAAAGAGGCTGTGAATGGAAAAGAGGCCCCTGACTTCCCAAGGGTCTCACGCAACTTATCTCTTGTGGCTTTATGAATCAGGTATTTCAGATGGAAGGCAGCACAATAGTTTGACTTGATGCTGGGAAGTGAATCGGTAAGAGATTAGATGACAAAGAGCTCTCATCAGTTCTTGTTACATTGCCACTGTGGTAAGGGCTTTGCATTTCATTAGAGAAACTCAATTAGCCTTGCTGTAGTCTAATTGTGACAGTTGAAATCTCAGCACTTGAGGCATAATCGGTAGAGTTCAGCAAAATGTTTTTTTGGAATTTGGCTCCTTCTCTGACAGTTCTAGAGCTGTGAGGTGTAAAGCGTGGCAGGACCTTTGGCCTCACTATATCCAGAGGTTAATTGCTCTCCCTTGGCAGTTCATCCTGATTTAGTTGAAACTACTGCCATGGATGCGTGGAAAAAAATACTGGGCAAGTGCATCTGTTTTCAGCTTGTGCCTCCTGCCTGCATAGAGGCTTAAAATCAGTGCTGTGCTTGCTGGTGTACTACTTTAGTCCAGGTGCATTGAGCAGGAGTTTGGCCTTGCACATGACTCTCAACCAAATGTCCAGACGTGTCACCATTGCTGTCACTGCGTCACTTGAACTTGGCTTGGTGTGGGAACTGGCTCTGGTTTCAACAGTTAAATCAAGTAGCCATAGCATCATTGCTACCATGGCAAGGCAACTGCTAAGGCATCGTTGTCGCTCATCTCATCATGGAAAAGTGACCCTGTGCACTCCCTAACCTCAAACTCCCAGTCCTAGCTCAGCTTCTTCATCTTCTCTGAGGGACACTGTTCTCCATTTCTGTGTTGTAGACTCCCTGGTTTCTCATATTATGCCAAGTATAGATTGCATGGAGAGTGGCTACATGGACAAGCTCCCAAGAGGTCATCTAGGGAGTGGATTTATAGTGTGTTAGCTCCTTTGTGGTAGCTGACTATGAAGATATCCAGCAGTAAATGCTAGGTGTGTGTGCCTCTTGCTGCATGAGTAGAACACAATCTGACAACTGAAAACAGAGTTGCTAGTTCATGTTCAGTTCTTAGGAAGACATATATTGACCCTTTAAATCAAGTTGCTTGCAGATAAATCTCTTAACTTCTGTAGCAGTAAGAAGGTTGGGGTGTGCTTCTAAATATAATAATATTCTTACAGAAGAGCTTATTGCCCCAGGAAATATTTTTGCAGTCTAATTCAAAGTAACTTGCAGAGACCATGCTTAGCTTGCACAGGCAGAGGAACAAGCTTCTTGTGATTAGTACAGGCACTGGCAGAGGGCTCCAGAGAACTTGCCCTTTCTGAAGTATCAAAGGGGTAGTTTGTCATCTTGATTATTTCCTCTGGTTTCTCCAGTCTCTGCTGAAATGGGTTCTGATTCCTAGAAGCCTCTCACAGGTGTCTGGGGGTTGTCAGAAACCTCAGAAAGGTTCACTTGGCAGCAGGTAGGGGCAGGAGTGTTGTTCTTCACCTATAACCAAGTTTAAGCCTTGCTATCTTTTCTCAGCCCTGAGGGGATTCACTTGTCTATTAGACTTTCTTCTTTGTAAACAAACAGTTCACCCAAAAAGCAGAGGGGAAATTTTTCTGATGAGGATACTGCAAGTTGAATATGAGGGAAGCAGGGCTATGTGTGTTGACCAGCTATCATTTGAGGATTTTTCCATTTTCTCTGGAATATTTGGTGCTAAAGGTAGCTGGTATTTTGCACATATCCATGTAGGTAATTTAAGCACACTTATTGACTGTTACTGGGAAACAACTGCTGTTGTCCAGAGCTGGCTGTTCCTGCTGGATGTTGATCTTGGTCTGAGCCAGACTTTGCTCTTGCTCCAGAGAGTAACAGCAATAGCAGTTGAGTTGCAATAATACCTTATGTCAGGGTAAGGTTAATGTAAGCAGAATGGAAATCTCAAGTCAAGCAGATGAAATGTGGAGAATTTATCAGAAATGAAAATGTGTGCAAATCTAAAATAAAATTTCTGCTAAAATCCCTGCTCATCTCTCAGCTCTGTGTGTGCTGAGAGAACTGAATCCTTGAAACATTAAAATAGCTTTGATTTAAATTAGTGAGCAGAGCTGTGAATGAAACTTCCTTCTTCAAACAACTCATGTTTTGAAGTTGTAGTTAATATATCTCCAAAAAGAGCAGGTGTGTTTCTTCTCTGTTTCATTTTAAGCCTTGACAATTGTATGCCACCTATAAAGCAGCTAGTGTGCCCTGGGAGCAGCATGTTTAGTCTGAGATGGAGGTTTCCCCAACACTTGTGCTGTGACCGTGGAGCACCTGAAGTCTGTTCTCTGGTGCTTCCTGGTGCCAGAGCTGCTCCTTGCTGGCTTCCCTTGGCTGGGCAGAGCTCAGGCATGCAGAGGTGGCTTTCACAGCAGGCTGGAGAGCTCCAGTGCTGGAGCAGGAGGGAGCTCTGGCTTCCCTGGTTGTGCTGTGAGTGTCCTGCTGGGAGCTGAAGCAGCCTCATGTGTGCTCTTTGTGGAGCAGTTTAGGAATTCGTTATGTACTGGTGAATACTTCAAATGTTTTGGCATCACTCGACTGTGAAAAAAGTGTTTTCAGTCAACAAATTTGATAAATAGGGATTTGTGTAGGAAGCCATAACATCCAGCCTACTCAACTGCTTTCTCAGACTGTTAAAAGTAGCTGTCAGTTCTGTATCTTCAGTGAGATTTCTCCAGATCCTTGAGTGCTGAGGTGGTTCTGTGCCTTTCAGAGGTGGCTCTCCACAGGGATGCCAATGTCATGCCTCTCTGATACTGCTGGAGTTGGTGCCTGGTGCCCAGAGGAGGTGCCTGGGTGTGTGTGGTGGAGGACAGGCAGGATGTGCCTGACCTGTGGCGTGAATAAGTGTAAGGGCATCAGTCAAGCCTTACACTGTGCTTGCTGAGACTCAAGGGAGATCCTAGCAATAGTCCACATCTGTAGGCAGCCTCTGCAGCCAGCAGCTTATAAGTCCTTGAAAGAAGTCAACCTCCAAATTGAGCTGTTCACCAGCTGGGTGCCAGTGCATAAAAACTGGTCGAATAAACGCATCTGGTAGTTAACTCCTGTCAGTGTTCTGTCAGAAAAGGGAGAAAAATCTTCTTTAAGCACAGGAGTATAAAACCCTGCTTAGAAAGATTTCAAGTGGAGAAATCTGTCAGCAAATTGCACATGTTCTTAGCCCAACTGTGTTTCATGAGACTGGATCACAGAAAGAAACAAAGACTCCCTTGCAACTGGATGTAGTCAACTGATTTGTTCTTGGCTAATGAGTACCCAAAACTTGGGACTGATGATCCATGTGCTTTTGGGGAACTGTTGCAGAAGGTGGTTTGCCCATTTTCAGGATAAAAGTGTGCCGCTGTGTCAAAACAGGTCAGGAGATGTTTCAGAGTAGTAGCTGTCACATTTAAACCAGTCGAGGACAAGTTTTGTCCTGGTTGGCTGAAAAAGAAGTAACTGCATTTAAAGCTTCAAATTTTGAGACTTGTGCATTTAATTTTAACATTTTAATGTAGACCAATGCAATGTGAGACATAATTTCAGCACCTCAAAGATGAGGTATGTTTGCACAGAGAGCTATCTGATGAAAAAACCATAGGGGATTTGGCTATCCTGCTTTGGTAGTAGTTCTAAAGTATCATGGATGATATCCAAGTTCTTTCCATAGTGAGAAATGCAGATGAAATGAGAGAGAAGCACTTACTCTAATTACGCGTGCAAGTATTGCCCTTTTGATTTTTTTAATGTACCTAACAATACAATAATTTAGATCCAAAATGCTCAAGTTACTTTAGATCTTTTTTCCTCCATCTTTTAGATTGCGAAGAAGACACGAACCCCAACTTCTGGCCCGGTGATCACCAAGCTGATATTTGCAAAACCAATCAATAGCAAAGCTGTTACAGGGCAGACCACTCAAGTGTCACCAGTCATTGCAGGTTGTACTACTTTGACTTGTTTTGCTTTACCATTTTTTAAAGAGATGGTGATTGTAAAAATTTTTCTGTCTCGATGATTTTACTGTAGTTTCTGTCAAAGTACCTCAAGCAATTGAAAAAAAAAAAAAAGTCAGCAGAGAATTTTGTGGATAGAAGCAGATAAATGCAGTTCTTGGTACCTTTATCTTCAGCTCATTTAGAATAAACTTTGTAATTGCAGAGTTGCTTTTACTGCAAGATGCTTTGACTTTATGGATTTTGGGGAGGAGGAAAAAAAAACCCCAGAGCCACAGAAAAGACTACTGAATAAACAGAAAGTATTTGTAAAAGCATTACATAAATACACAGGGTGAAAAGGAGACACATGCTCTTGTATTACTTTAATCTGCTTATAGTTGGACTTCAATGTAATACATGCAAGTAACAGGAAAAATGTTTGAGTGAAAGGAAGTGAATAAAGCTGTGCTGTTTCTGTGAAGTTGCTCACCTGCTTCAAAAATAACCATTGCCCAAGTGTCTTAAGAAAGTAATTAAGGCAAGTAAGAAATGGTGTTTCTCTTTGGAAAATAAAGCTATATATCTTTAGAAAAAAGCCAAGCCAAACATAGAATAATGACAAAAAATCACCAAAATGACAAAAAAATCCTTTGTTTATTATGGCAGTGGGACCAATGTGTCTGTTGCTAAATGCACCATTGCATGTATGCAAGTAACATCTTAGATGTGTAAATTATTTGAAAGGACAAATGTAGGACGCCACAGTCATCTTCAGAGCTTTGGAGTATGTCTTCAGCTGCTTCCAGATTGACCAGCCCAAGGAGGCCTGAAATCTTTTCTATGTATTTAAACAGATTTGTTAAGCCTTTACAGAACTGGGACTTGAGCTGGTATTAAAAAGTCCACAGCTGTGTCCTGTGTTCAGAGCTTTGGTAGGTATAGGTGGAAGGCAAGTAACTGAAATATCTTTTCCTCAAGTTGTCAGGCTGCCTGCAGCCCAACCTGTGCTTCAGGGGAAACAGATTCCTCATCCCACTCCCCAGTCCCTCACTTTGCTCGCACAATTCCCAACCAGATACACAGACCTGTGAATAAGAAGATTGGTATGCTTGTAAATATTTGAACTAAGCTGTTTGTGTGTGAAAAAGAACCCCAAAACAAACCAAAAGCCAAACAAACAAAAAACCCAACCCAAAAACATTGTAAAACCCCACACCACTTGGAGCTGCATTACATTTGCATCTGGCAATACATGACAATTGGTAAACAGTGAAGAGCCAGGATAAAAATAATAACGATGACTGGGTTTGAGCTTACTGTCTCCAGAATGAAAGGAAATGTCCAAATTAAATGATACTTACCTACTATTGACAAACAGATATGTTACAAAATAACTTGAAGTTTTTAAATCAGTATATTGGAAAATCAAGAGTACCTGTACCTGAGCCTGTGAGAGAATCATCACTGGGAGGTGAAGATGCTTCACTAATTGAGAGGGAAATCTTTTTCAACATCTGCTCTTCCTCTCACCCTTCCACCCAGCCTGCACAGCTTGCCAGCTTGGAAGGTTCTGGCATCATTCTGGGAAAGGTGTAACATTTGTGTTTTGGGTTTTGATTCTGTGTGCCGGTTTTGAGTCTGATAAATATATTTAATTGCCTGGGAATTTGTGCAATCTGAGGTGGAAGCTATAAATTTGCAAAACTTGTCAATATAAGCAACCAGGTTCTGTTTAGGAGCTGATGCCAAGGGGTACAGATGAGGTGTAATGAGACAGGGAAAGCTGTCACCAGGAAAATAACTCAAAGCATTGAAAACTGGAGATGGTAAAATTCCCATAGACACATTCTTCAGGTTGCATGTGGTTTTAGCAGCTGCTGGCAACTCTCTGTGCTGTTAGTTAGACTGCACAAAACTGGAGGTTATTTTAGAGCACAAAGACCTCAGAGGAAGTCAGCTCTCTGGGAGGATTGTGCTTTTTCTTGTTAGTTCCAGTTGACTGTAATTGTTATGACACTAGTTGATTTTTGGATGGAGAAGTGAAGCTGGTATGTGTTTATTTCTTGTTTTTATAAATGGAGTACAAGAGAATGGGGGACAGAGAAGCTATGACAGAAACGAGTCTGATCCAAAGTGCAGCAGAGGAAAGCTCAGTGGTCAATCACTCTTTGGAAAGAAACTTAGGAAGTATGAAAAAAAACCCCAATGTTTTCCATTCTGGGAGTTTTGCAATATTCCTAAGGCAGATTTAATGCTTTGAAGCTGCTGGTTTTGCTGTTTAATGTTTTTTGGCATTGTAAAAACAGATTGTTTGTAGAGTTACACTACCACTCATGTTCATGTGTGTGTCATATATTCAGTTAGGCAGTGAAAGAAACAACCATCAACACAGAGAAGGAAAAAACCCAAAAACCTTAGAGTTGAGGGTAGACAGACCAAACACCTTTTCCTTAGTCACTGTATCACAGCTTGTTTTTGATGACTGAGGTTTCAAAAGGAAGTAGTTCTCCACAGATGCTCAGTTTCTCTGGACATTGGCAGCATCCCAGGGACTCCCTAGGAAACTCTCAGATGGTTGGGTGTCTGCATGCAGTGCAGAGCTGCACACCTCAGGGTGCTATCCTGGCTGTAAAGAATTCTCAGCTGAATGTCACAGAAACCTCAGTGTGTGTTTTGGCTTTTTTTAAGCCTGAGTGACTTGTCTTTTGATTTGCAATAATGCCAATTATTTTCTTCTTTGTTGGTAAATCTAGAACTCCAGTGTCCTTGCTGCCAGGTCATACCCTCTCAGAAGTAGGGATCAGTTGCACGATATGCAGAGAAAACTTTGGTTTGAAAGTGAATGTGAACAGGGATAACTGGAGCTGATGGTGTCTTCATTGTTTATAGGTAGGGTTTTTTCACAGTCTGCTCCAGGGACACCACCAAAGACAATAACGATCTCTGAGAGTGGAGTCATTGGATCATCTTTGAGTACATCAACACAGCAGACACCGAATAAAATAGCTATCTCACCACTCAAATCCCCTAATAAGGTAAGGACCTGTCTGGCTGCAGCCTTCTCTCCCTCCTGCACAGTGGTCTGAATGGAGCTCTCTGTGTCTTTGCTACAAGCTGTTTATTATCTCTTCAGAGATAATAAACATATCTCCAGAGTCCATAAAAATATCCCCAGTCTCCGTTGTGCATCATGATGCTCTGTGGTAATGCCCTAACCTAGATTTTTTTTTTTTGCAATTGGCTCCCTTACTGTGGTTTTAAGTAAATATGCACTACTGCATTAGTCTCCCATTCCTGCCATTTCTTGCCATTCCCTAAGCATCCATTCTGAGAACAGCTGTTCCCTCTTAGTGCTCGAACTATTTTTAATGCCTTCATAAAACCTCAACAGGCTGTTTAAGAAGAGGCCTCGATAACGTTAATAGGTCAGCACTTATTAACCATTGCCTGCTACTGCATAGGAAATTCAGTCTTTCCTAGTCACGTCTTGAAGTAAAAGAGATTTGCAATGGTCCTTGACAAATACAGAGCTGGAGATTGACACAGGTGGGCAACAGAGCAAGTAACTCATCCATCTTGAGCTGCATAACAAGGCAACACTTGTGTTTTAGATTTGTTGAAATTGTCTCAAGAAGAGGAATATTGCTGGAGAAAGGGGCAGAGGGGGACAGGATGCATTTTGTATGCTAGCTAAATATGTATGAAAAGTGGAGTAAGAAGAAAGAGCTCTGTCAGTTTGGCTGTGCTTTAGTGATGTCATGTACAAAGGGAGTGAAGGACTTGTGTTTGACAGCTCTTAGTGAGGGAATCAACATGAAGAAGGAGTGAAAAATAATAACTCTAGAATCAAAATGAACAGTGAGTGTGAAAAGATCTTCCTTAAGGCTGCACCTTGAATTTGCCATAGATAAGTAATTCTAAATACCTTTTAAAAGCAAATGCTTTCAGAACCTGGGATTTTTCATAGAGCAGAAAGAAGTTTGGGACCTAAAATAGAAAACCAGCCTTGGAAGTGGTGTAGCAATATAGGACATTCAAACACTGCACTGCAGAAATGCAGGCAAAAGACTGGATATCTATCAGAATCTGGAAAGCAGATTTGAAAATACTCATGGTGTTATACTTTGACTAAATCAGTAGTGTCAGGTGAGATTTTTTTTTTCTTTTCCACAGCTCTTCTTTTAAATTTCTGTTTATGATGAAATAGTCATGGTACCAATTATAAAGCTGTTAGAAATCCATCCTGACAATGCTCAGGCTTCACTGGGGTAGTATCCTTTAAAAAAAAAGAAAAAAAAAAAATCAAACCAAAGGAAAAGAATAACCCCTCACTCCCCACCACATGCTGTGCCAGGTTTCTGCAAGGCCTTTTGGTGCTGGAAACCAGCAATGCCTTCAAGTTTCTAAGGGACTTATTTGCTGTTGTTGCAGCTGGACCCGTGTGAGCTGTGACTACATACAGGGCCCTTGTTCATATGAAGAACTCTGTGTGCTGGTAGAGAGCTGCACTTTCATGAGGAGGGGAATGTGTATGTACCAGAGTCTTGTATCCTGCAAGGAGATTTAAACTGCTTCTTTGTTTTGCCAAGCAGCTAACAGTGGTGTCAGTGGCCTCTCAGCCTCCCAACTCCCCTCAGAAGACGGTGGGCGTCCCCCTGAATGTAGCTTTAGGACAGCAGATCCTCACAGTGCAGCAGTCAGCACCCTCCTCCCCTGGGAAGGCTATAGCCAACCATACAACTGCCCAGGTACAGACTGACTTTGCTTTGTCTTCCAGCGTGTCTGTGTCGTTGCTTGTGGGAAAGTGGAGTGTTGGGCAGCACATTGGCAGTGGTCAGTCCCAGGGTGTTCCTGTAATGGTGTTTGCTTGAGAACTGGCAGAAGGATTGCCTTGAGGAGCACATACTTCTTCAGTTGAGAGGTGCAGACCATTGTAAGCCTGTCCAAGGACATGCTGGTAGAAAGCAGCTTTCCAGCTTGGAAAGCTCCTCTTGGTGCAAGGTCATGTCTCTGTACGCTGAATCTCCCAAGTTGTCTGAAAAACTCCCTCTGACATGATGAAGAGTTCTTTGGGTGGTTTTCCTCTCTTCCACCACTGGCTAGGGCTTCTTTCCAGGTGTTTCTGAGGTTTGTGACAGTGGAGTTCATTCTTGTGATAGAGGTCTGCATAAGCAAAACACCATGGTCTGAAACCTACAGAACTAGAAATTATTCTTTTCCTGTAGCTCATTTCTAGAAAAATAGGGATTTCCATAATAGCTTTTGTAAATTGATTTGCACAATAAATCACAAGACAAATTAGGCTTTTCTTACAAACTACAGTTCTTACTGTTTTCCTTTTTTGTAATCATAGGTGGATTTTTTTCTATCATAATGTATTCCTGTTTTGGTAAACATGAAGAGATGTGTGTGGGTGGTAAATAACCAGAGTGTGGTTATAGCAGGGAGTGGACACAGCTGCATGTACAGCACAAGACCAGAAACACAAACAGATTTTGCCAATCTCCTCTTACTGATACAGATGATAATTAGAATGCTGATATGGGGATGTGGATACCAGCATGATTTGAATTTTATTTTCTTTCTCCAGAGTAAAACTGTCTTTTGAAACAGTTGTTAAAAGGTTAAGACACTCTAATACAAGCAACATAAGTGGGAAAACGGAGGTGTCTGTGGGGTATACGTACTGAGTTCTGATCCAGAGCTATCTGACACAACACAAGGCTTTCACCTCTCTTCACATGCCTACAGAAGAATTGCCACTTGAACTTTACAGTTTTCCCAGTTATCCTTGGATTGTAGCCTCTAATTTGTGTGTTGGAGAGAGCTTGGCCCATACTGATCCCCTGTGATAACACTTTGTCTGTGGCTGTGCTTATTTTGTATTGCTCTGGCTTGTTAAGGTTTCAGTGTATCAGGGGAAAATAAATTCCAAGAAAACACATCTTTAAAGCCAAGGCTTGTGTTCCAGTGAAAGGTGTGCAAATTGAGATTTCATTCGTGTAGTTGCTGTAAGATGGGAAAACGTTCTGATAAGAATTCACATCATACTATCAACCAAATTTAATACTAAAACTTAATGTCAAGGACAATATGTTTAATATCAATATTAAAGGATACTGAGAAGAAAAAGCTGGGCTCCAAAAGGAGTTAGATGGAGGGAGAAAAGGGAGGAATAAATCAAGGTTTGAGGTTGAGCAAGGCTGGAACAAGAGGCCATTATCAAACCAGTACACTTATGAATGCATCTAAATAAAATAAAAACAGTTTGTAGTTTGAGCAAAATTGGAAAGGTGAAGTCCTGCAAATTCCAGGTGTACTGCTATTCCAGCTGTGAGGTAGCACAGGTCTGGCAAGCTCCCTTTCTTTCACCATTTTGCCTTTATTCGTAATGAATTTATTTTGCTACTCCTCATTGTTCTTGCTTCTTTCATTTCTCAGCTTGTACTCTCCTTCTGATGTATATCAGTTTATGGACTCTGTTCCATTTTCTTTTCAAGGGTTGCACAGTGAATTCTGTGTCTTAACAGGATGTGTCTGTACACATGGAGATAAATCATGTTGCAGTCCAGCACAAACAGTTCTGCTAGTTCTTACCACGTGCTGCTATTAGTAGGAATATTTCTAGGTTTGCTTGTCGCTTGGTTTTGGAATACAAACTGAGCAGTGTTCTCTGTAGTCTCCTGAAACAGTTTGGGCAGACATTGTATCTGAGGAAGTGAACTGAATCACCCTCTTCATGTAAATATTGGTCTACTCTGGTGTTGGGTGTAGAGCATTGAAAATGGAACTGAGTTTGCCCTGAGCTATAGAGAAACATTCAGTCTCTTTGCATCTGTTCTACTTTTTGAAAGCAAAATGGGGATAACTGGCTTCCCTCTCAAGGATGCAAAGGTTATGGTAGAGTTGCTCACTAGCAAATTGAGGAATAAACACATTGATGTTCTTTCTGCCTTTGTACAAGTAACTTCGTGCTGTCTGTGTTGGCTTAACAGGCTGTGAAATCAGCAGTGCAGACCATTACTGTAGGAGGAGTGGGTACATCTCAGTTTAAGACAATTATTCCCTTGGCAACTGCACCCAATGTTCAGCAGATTCAGGTACCTGGAAGCAAGTTCCATTATGTCAGACTCGTTACTGCCACAACAGCCAGTAGTTCAACCCAGTCGGCCAGTCAGAACCCCAGTACGAATACTCAGCCTCTTCAGCAGGGTAAGTGCTGCTGTTCATGCATTGTGTGAAGCTTTTATTGGTTTTTTTTCATGTTGTCATGTAAGCATTAAAATGAATACATAGTAGAGTTCTGTGAAGACTGCCAGATGTACTTGGTTCTGTGGTAAGACTCCTATAAATTTGATATTGTGCTGTTACCGCTGATTTGTATGTGGAAATGCTCCTGTGTGTCAAATTGCTCTGTAGTTGGGCCTGAATCCTTGGAGCATTTTTAGGTTGCTTTTCCCTAGTGTATCAGCTTTGTGAGTGACTTGTGGCAACTTCCAGATCCTCTGTATGAGAAGAGTAAAGCCAGGACAGCCCACAAACACATTACCAACACTCCTGTAACATGAAGATCCTTCCATGTAAATCCACATAAATTACTTTAGAAGTGCCCAATGTTTCTACTGGTTTCTGTCCATACTGTGATGGAATCAAAGATTTCCAGCCAAGCTGTGGCTCTTGTATTCTCCCTTTGCTAAGGAAAATCCAGTGTCCAGAGGAGGTCTGCACCAAGCTGCTTTTGAAGTCATTGCTGTGAAATATGTGTACAGGCTCTTGTGCCAAATATGTGTTTGCAGAGGTGTTCTTTAGACCCAGGTGCTGTATGCCATGAGGTCAGGCAGAGCATTGTTGCAGCATTAAGTACCTCTGTGTTATGCACATGTGAAAGTCTGAAGGACTGAACTGTAGGCTTTGAATAACGTGTTAATGTGATGTTGTCTCTTGATACTAGCGAAGCCAGTGGTGGTGAATGCGACCCCAGTGCGTATGTCTGTTCCCATAGTGCCAGCACAGACTGTGAAACAGGTGAGCTAAATGTCAAAGGCACATTCCTGACTTGTTTTGGCTGGACAGATTAAAAAAAAAATCTGTCTCCAGCTCTGTAATGAAATGTCCTATTAATAAAATTGCCTTCTGAATCAATGAAGCAATGATTTCACAAAGACTTCTTTTTCTCCAGGTGGTGCCCAAACCAATCAACTCAACTTCACAGATAGTTACTACTAGTCAGCCCCAACAAAGACTTATTATGCCAGCCACTCCCCTGCCACAGATACAGCCCAACCTCACCAACCTCCCACCAGGCACTGTACTGGCACCAGCACCTGGCACAGGAAACGTCGGGTATGCAGTCCTTCCAGCTCAGTATGTCACACAGGTATGGTGTTACTGCTCCTCAACTGGCACCTGACACCAAGGCCAGTTTCTTTTAGGGACCCTTGGCAGAATGGCAATAGTACTAAATTACAGTTACAATTAAAAGCATGATTTTTTTTTTTCTTATCAGAATAGCACAGGATTTCTGTAAGCAGAATCAGCATAGTACAATGTTGAGTAGCATAGTGCAGAATTTATAATGCAAACTTATAATAAAATTTATCATTCTAATCACCTAGATCTCAACTTATAGCTTCTGATCGCCTACACCCTCTGCAGATTGGATCAGCTCTTGATGCATGGTTTGCTTCATCAGTATATCGTTCTGTAGACTCAAAAATCATGTCAAAGAGTACAAGTCACTCAGTCCTTGGAGGTGACCCTGGCTACTGGGGTCATGGGTCTCATGTCCAGCAGCAGTTCCAGTCCAAGTTCTACACAGTTGTAGCTGCTTGATTTTACAGACTGTGCTCTCTGTGCTGTTACACTTCCCTGTTCTGTGACAGTTGTCACCACCCCCTGGTTGTGTGGGTGGCTGAGATCTTCACAGCTAATAAGGAAGACAGTAATTGCCCTGGTGCCCAGGGATCTTGAGGCCTGTAGTGAAGGGAGGAAGAAATCTGTTTGGTTTGTCTATTTGGCTCACAGGACCTTCAGGGCCTGATAAGGAGGAGAAAGGGAGCACATATGTGACCTGCTTGGTCAGAGAGAGTGGCTGCTTGCATTATAAAATTATGTTAGCTGATGCTAACCACATTACCAGGGGTCAGAAGCAGTGGTACCCGTCGCACCAACCCATGTCTAGGGGTTAGATTTTTGCTCTTTGCCAAGATGTGACCAACATTCTGCACGAAAAGGAGAAAAACAAAACCTTCTGCTGAAGGCTGACCTGGCAGTTTGTAGAAACAAGGGCTCTGGTAGCTCATGGCATTACTGGTACCAACCTCAGTTCTGGTTTCCTTGTGCTTTTGTCACAGCTGCAGTTTGACCCTGAAGACTGTTGTGTCCTCCCAGTTTACTTGTACAAATGTTACCTAAACTAAATAGCATTTGTGGGACCTTTCCTCAGAGGTTTTGTGTGCCAGTCACAATCTGTCCCCTTTTGCCTGGTCCCAGTAGGTCTATATTTTGCTATGTGCCAGTCTGTCTCCAGAACCTGTCCCAGCAGGAGAAACTGTCTGCATGTAGGTAATGCTAAAGAAGCCAGGATGTTGTCCTTTGGCAGGTTCTTGTGAGGTTTGGGGTTTATAACATGAAAAATAAGCTGTGAGTTCAGGTAGAACCTGCAGAGAAGTTGGAATGCAAACCATTTCATTTGCTTTTATTCCATAGTGAGTGGCTTGTATATAAAGAAAGCTATTAAAGTAATTTGTGCAGGAAGCAATCCTGCTCTGTTAGGGGGAACGGTTGCTTAGGAAAAGGGGGGGCGAAATTAACATGTTTTTAGGAGCAGGAACTGTTTGTGGTCTGAACATTCCTGTGTGTAATTTCTGTCATCAGTATGGCTCTAGACACTGTAATGGAGAATGAAAACATGATCTAAATCAATGTTTTTATGCTCAGAATGGAGGCAGGAGGTTGCCACGTGGTTCAGGTTCTATAACTGTCTATAGCTTTACTTACAAGCAATTTATTTTCATAACAATATCTGGGAAGCTAATTAAAATATTAGGTACACATCCTCTTGTGCATGCTTGAATTTCTTTTATGTCACACATCAACCTTTTCTGTTTTGTTAGCTACAGCAATCATCCTATGTATCCATAGCAAGCAACACCGGCTTCACAGGGACATCTAGCATCCAGTCCCAAGCACGACTGCCATTCAATGGGTGAGTTTGGTTTGGAGGATTTTCCAAGACAGTCAAGTATGCTGCAGTGTGATTATTACCTCTGACTAAAGGGCATGGATTTCTCTGACAGCTGAGCCGGTCTCTTGATCAAAGCTGTGTTTTCCTTTCTGCTTTTTGAACTCATGTGGCAGGAGGTTGACCTGAAAGTTCCTTGTTGCTCGTTTTTTTTATTTTGCATCAGCACCTGAGGGCTACAGGCTTCAACTATTTCCAACCATTCCTGGAAAGAGGGACTGGACATGTTGTGGTACTGGACTAAGCATCTATGAGCTAGATGATTAGTACATGCAGAAATGCAGCCAGACAGCAAAATGGATCCTGATAGGAGACTTTCAGTTTTTTTCAGTCTTGCATTTTTTCTTTAAGGATGAAAATAACAGCTCACACAGTATTTTTCCTGTACCAATCCAGCAGGCTTAGCTGTTCTGCACAGTCCTTTTGTGTTACTGTTTGCTGGAAATTGTAAATGCCAAGGTGCTTTTTGTTGCTGCAGCCTCAACTGTTGCAAACTAATCCCAAATCCAGATGCAGCTATTTAAATGAACAGGCTGGATTTAATCTCCCTGGTATTATGTGCAGAAATTGCTGGATAGGGCAGGAACAAATCTCATCAAAAGTGATTAGTGTCGCAAAATCCAAGTTCTAAGAGCAGTTAAAGACTATGTCCAATATAAAATTTATCTATAAACCGAATATCATGTTTTGGCTTGCTTTCCTATTATTCCAGAGAGTGATTTTGGGGGTTTTTAATTCCAATTAGAACAAAAGGAAAGGCACAATCATGTTGTGTGAACCTTGGTTGGATCTAGTTCTGCTGCATGTAGAGGAGTCCTGGGGAAGTTTTCTCTGACTCCAGTTTTCAGTTATAGTGTTTCCTCTAGCTTTAAGCCTAATTTCCACTTTAGGGATGCATCCAGATTGGCAGCAAATAATCCATCTCTTTCTGGGTTGGAAAGGCATTATATGAAGGACTATAAAAAATAGTTACCTAAATGCAGTCAAAAAACCTAATGCAAGGGGAATATAAGGGTTTTTTTCAAAGTTTTTATTATGAGCTATTTACTTGTATTTAAAATAGGAAGAAACTGATAAAACAGTGTGTGTGTGTGTATATATAAATGCACTTTTTCCTCCCACAGAATAATTCCTTCTGAATCTGCAAACCGCCCCAGGAAGCCTTGCAATTGTACTAAGTCTCTGTGTTTGAAATTGTAAGTACAGCTTGGTATTGTTTGCATTTTTTGAGCCTTTTTTAACATCACAAATTGATGACAGGTATCAGAATATGATGGGTTTAAGTATGGCAGAAATTTTGTGTCTCGATGCTGATTTAAGGTTGCTGTTGGTGGAGATGTGGCAGAGCCTGTGTCATTTTGCAGTTCTTATGAGCTAGATGGATCCTGACATGTCTAACTTTGCAGCCCTGTTGTGTGGTGGAGCCAATTCCACTCAGCAGCTCTAGTTGCATTGTTGCACCATGAGTGAAAGAGCATCCCATGGTGTCATTACTGGGCATTTACTGTACTTTGGTGAAGTACATCAGTAATACCATGCTGGATCAAGTCCTTCAGAAAAATTGGGCTGTGTATCTGTTATTAAAGGACTGAATAGGCATGTGATTATTCACTGACAGGTCTGAGTTTTGCTTATCCTTGCGAGATATTTTGCTGTCCCACCCAATGCATTTGTAAGAATTTGACATCAAAGCATTTTAAGCTGAGGAGAGTTTCGTTACTGTGAGGCAAAGTCAGTACCAATTTTTTGAGATCGTAACGGGAGGAGATACTGAAATTACCACAGTTTCAGTTGGTTCCCTGAATCCTAGACAATGAAGAGGAAATCGGGGTGTGGTGCTCAAAGGGAAAGTGATGCAATGGTATCTGAACCCAAGTTAGGAAGTGTGTTTAAACTCTTCAGCTTGGGTTTCTTTTTGTGTAGGGAGGTGTGCCCTGGACTTCCTTGTCTTGAAATTCTGTTGCATAGAAGACATAGTAAACAGGAAGATGTGTAGCTGTTTTTTCAGATACTTTGCATATATGACTGACCTCCTAGTGCCTAATGTATGTCAGAGGTGTAGGGTTTTCAACTTGGTTTAGTTTTTGGTGCCTGAATGTGCTAGAGATGCTGGGAGAATGATGGCATCACTGGAGATACTTTGCTGTTTGGAAGCAGACTTTTCTTGTAAATTGCTGTAATGATATCTTTAAGTGGCTTGGCTTTGGTGCAGAGCAAATGACTAATTCACTCTGGCAAAGGTGCTTTCTCACTGGTAAAACTTTTTCCTGTCTGGAAGGGAAGTTGTTTTTTCCCAAATGCATGTTAAAGGTAGGCACATAGCCCATTCTACAAAGAAGTGATCTCAGTTTTTTGCTTACTGATGTTCTGGGTTGATGCTGGCACTGTTTGTTTTGGGAACCAGGACTATTCCACTACTAAATTTTAAACAGGACAAAAAGGAGAGCTGTTACAGCTTGTAAAAGCTTTTGATGTGTTTGTCCCTGGGACCATTCATAGAATCAAAGAATCAACCGAGTTGGCAAAGGCCTCCAAGACCATCAAGTCCAACCCTACTGTGGTTACTAGACCATGGCACTAAGTGCCACATCCAGTCTCAGCTTGAAAACCTCCAGGGATGGGGAATCCACCATCTCCCTGGGCAGCACATTCCAATGTCTGATCACTCTCTCCATAAAAAAATCTCTTCCTAATATCCAACCTAAACCTCCCCTGGCAGGGTAAGTTTAGGTTAGATGAACTTCTTTGATGAACTCTGCCTCAGTTTACAGCTGCAAACAGCTTATGGGCAAAACCAGCAGAAAAGGCTTGTTGCTGTGTTAGTCAGTTTGCCTGTTAATTGGCACTCCAGTTCTTGCCTTTTGTTCCAGCTGTGTGAGAGCTCCTGAAGGCTGACTTGGAACTGGCTGGGAGGTAGGATGGCCCTGAATATGTGGATGACCCACAAGTCACCCTAGAAAAAAGCCTCATTAGCTTCTCTTGCTGCTGTGGGGACCTGTGCTATATGAACATCAGCTCAGATGGACATCTTTGAGTTGTACCTGTGACTTTAGACAGCAGCTTAGAGCTGTGCTAGATGATTGAGGCTCTGCAATGAAGCTAGTACTACTTGTACACATGGAGTCAAGCATAGGGTGACCCTTACCCTGATTGCTGCATGTGCATTTTGCCAGAGTAGGAACTTCTGCTACTGCCATCAGGACTAATACCAATGTAATGGTCATGTTTGCAAATGCCTTCTGCATCTTCTCTTTCAGGTATTGTGATTGCTTTGCAAATGGTGAATTCTGCAATAACTGCAACTGTACGAATTGTTACAACAACCTGGACCACGAAAATGATAGGCAAAAAGCAATAAAGGTGAGGGGCCTCTTCCCCTGTCCCTGGGATGAAAGCTGTTTGGCTTATGTCTCCTGAAGCCACAGAGTGGGTGTATAATGCCCTGATCTCCTCCCACATGTGCAAGGCTTATGTTCTTTCATTGCACCTCTAAATTCTGCTCCCTGCACGCAATGACTGACCATTTGGGTCTGCATTGACAGGCCTGCCTTGACAGAAACCCTGAAGCTTTCAAGCCCAAAATAGGGAAAGGGAAGGAAGGAGAGTCGGATCGGAGGCACAGCAAAGGGTGTAACTGCAAACGCTCGGGATGTCTCAAAAACTACTGCGAATGTTATGAGGTATGAAGCATTGTATCATCTTAAAGATAGTAACTTCTTCCTTCACTGCACTGACTTCTCTGATTTGCTTTGTTTCTTTGTATTGCTCTCAGGTTTTTCTCTACTGTTCTTTTCCATTGCTATAATGTTTCCTCTTCTCCCAGCAGGTTCCACATAGTAAGCCACCGTATGGCAACACTGATCACTTCTGTTGTGTAATTTTAATTTTAAACAATGTAGCAAATTTCAGCGTAGGCTTGGAGTTGTTCTTTCCTGAATAGCACATTTTCCTAAACAAATCTACTGCACCAAGTCCCTAGGAGGAGTTGAAGCAGCATCCTGCAGATGCTCTGGGGTAGAACATGTTTCTGGAAGTCTAAAGCAGAAGTTGTTACTTCCTCTGCCAACTGATCAGTCTGTGGATTTAGAGACAGTAGCAGACTGAACTCTCATAGCTAGCTCAGCCATCTAAATACTTGCTGCACACTGGAGGTTGGTAAAGAAGGGGATGAGTGGGAAAACATTAATTTATATTTGAGTCAAGTGTATATTGTGGGAAGGCATCTCAGCTTGAGGTGAGAACTTAGAGACAAAACTACTACTTGGGAGTTTCTTCTAGTGCCTAATTGGTAAGAGATTAAAACAAGATACCTTTTTGTTGTGACTTGCCAGAAAGGGAGTTAAGGTTGCAACAGATTTCTTACATTTTTGTTTGTTTCTTTCAGGCAAAAATCATGTGTTCTTCCATATGCAAATGCATTGGCTGTAAAAATTTCGAAGAAAGCCCAGAGCGAAAGACATTGATGCATTTAGCAGACGCTGCAGAAGTTAGAGTCCAGCAACAAACTGCTGCAAAGACCAAGTTATCTTCCCAGATCTCAGATTTGCTGACCAGGCCAACACCAGCACTCAGCAGTGGTGGTGGGAAGTAAGTTAATGCTGCACCCTGTTTAAGTTGTTTCTAACATGGGGTTCTGATGTATGTGACAGGTATGTCCCTGTCATCTTTGCATGCTGTCTGTGTAAGCTGCTGCAGTTAGGGGAATGCAGTACCTTCCGTGGGACCTAGGGCATGCCAGGCTTAGCTGTAACTTAAGCATTGTCATCACTGCCATGTGCTCACAGAAAGCATGAAGTTCACTTTCCCGTTTACTGACTATAGTCCTTGGGCTGCTCCTTTTTGAAGTAAAAGCTGGAGAATGGTTCTGTATCCCTGGGCATTTTGATGCCTGTTTCAAAATGCCCGTCAGTGGAGGCAGGCACCAGAGCAGAATTGGCCCACTAGTTCATAGAATCATAGAATTTTAGGGGTTGGAATGGACCTTACAGATCATCTAGTCCCAACCCCCTGCCCTGGGCAGGGACACCTCCCACCAGAGCAGGTTGCTCAAGGCTCATCCAACCTGGCTGTGAACACTGCCAGGGTTGGGGCAGCCACAGCCTCCCTGGGTAACCTGGGCCAGGGTCTCACCACCCTCACAGGAAAACACTTTTTCCTAATATCTAGCCTAAATTTCCCCTCCTTTAATTTGAAACTGTTACCCCTTGTCCTGTCAGTGCAGCTCCTCACAGAGTCCCTCTCCAGCTCCTTGTAGACCCTTCAGATATTGAAAAGTTGCTCTGAGGTCTCCACGCAGTCTTCTCTTCTCCAGGCTGAACAGCCCCAACTCCCTCAGCCTGTCTGCATAGGGCAGATGCTCCAGTCCTCTTAGCAACTTCGTGGCCTCCTCTGGACTTGCTCCAGCAATTCCCTGTCCTCCTTATGTTTGAGGGCACCAGAAGTGCACACAGTTCATTTGACTGTTGCGAGCTGAAGCTTACTCACTCCCTGTTGCTTTGTCTAAAGACTCAGGAAGCAATAGGACAGATTGTTTTTGTGCTAAAAAGTTGCCCAGCCCTGGAGTTAGCATGTTTTTTGCAGAGACTCAGTGGGTGTTTCTTTGTTTCAGGCTGCCCTTTACATTTGTAACCAAGGAGGTGGCTGATGCGACCTGCGAGTGCCTCCTGGCACAGGCAGAGCAAGCAGAGAAGATGGGCAAGTCCAAAGCTGCAGCAGAGCGGATGATCCTGGAGGAGTTTGGACGCTGTTTGATGAGAGTTATTAGCTCTGCAGGGAAGTCCAAAGGTGACCCTTGTGCCATGAACTGCTGACTCATGCACATGAGCCACGATGAAGTGGACTGAAGAGAACACTTAAGGCACAGGGACACTTTGGTTTAGCATCAAGGATTTAATAAAATTTGTTAATTTGGTGCTTGTTGTAAATTGACCCGTGTAAGATTAAAACAAGAAAATCTTTTATAACAAGATGTAGAGCCTTTTAAAACTCAGCTAAATCCTCTTCTACTTAAGACAATGCCTAAAGGTCAATTCTTCTTCCCAATGTACAGCTTTTACCCTGGGTTTCTAAAACATTAGATGTGTTCTTCCCTAACCCCCAGAATAATGTCTGAAGGGCATATATAAGTTATTATAATATATTATTTACAGTGTATGTATTTGCATCACTTTGTGCATACAGGAAAACACAGGTGATGTCAACAGCCAATTTGTGCTTTGGGTGACAGGCCTGTAATAAGGAGGTACCAATGTATCCAAGAGAATTCTGAAAGGAAGTATGTAAAAATGAGCATCTAAATGGAAGGTAGTACTTGTATTTAGGACCTGACACAGCATGTTCCTTTAGTGCACAGAGCACTGTGAAATACATAGGCAATAATACAGAGGGATTTCTTACAGATTTAGCATTGAGCAAGTCGTGGAGAATCTTGTTGGAGCAAGGCCCAAGGAATGTAGAGGCGAATAGGATTAATGGGAATTGTTGATAGGAATGTGGCTGAGAGCTCAGGTGTTTCTTAAGCTGAAACTTGAAGGCTAAGACAGTGGCCTCTTCTCAGAAGTGAGGAAGAGCAGCCACACCACAATGCCAGACTGTCTGCCCAGCACAGTGTTACCTCTGTTGCTTAGGTGAAGCTTGGTTTTTTTGGGTCTGCAGCAGCCTAATCCCTCACTGGAAGCAGAGCTGTGCAGTCCATTGTGTTTTCTAAGATCAAGCTGTAACCCTGGAAAAGTGTTTAAGCCCGAGAAGCTGAAGGTATGGGAGATGACAATCTGCATCTGAATTGACTTGCAGACGAAGGTAGGGATCGTGTTCAGCCTGGTTAGGGTATTCAGGATGCTGCATGTTGGTAATTTACTTGGCATAAGGGCTTTTTTAGCATCCTTTAGAATAATTGTGTGAGCTGTGGTCACAGAAGATACTAGCACAGAATCAGGATTGCTACAAACAGACACAGATCCTTTTACACTAACAGAGGGCAGTCAGCTCTAGCCTGGGTATAGACTAAGGCAGGGGATTTTTTTCAGTATTTGTTACAGGCAATCTTAGATCACATTTTTGATAGTGGAACACATTTGTAAAATTAACCTGGTAGGTTACTTACCTATTATGAACATCCATTAACCATGTTTAATCACAGGCATTTTTATTACCTGTTTCACTGCAGCCTGAACTAGCTATGTTTTTTCCAAAAGGGATTTTGTATTCCTTGTATAAAACTGTAAATACGAAGAAATGCAGCAGAGCTCTTTCTCCAGATTTTCTAGCAGAGCCAGGCAGGGGAAAGGTAGGGGCTATGCAAACCAGCAGCAGAAACATGTGCCTACATGTGTGAAGGCAACAGGATGGCAGGATGCTCCACCTCACAGCCCTGTGCACTGAACAGAAAGCTCTTGACCCTTCTTTGGTGCCTCCTCAAGATGCCTGGGAAGCATGAAGGGCCTGGGAGGCAGCTAGCAGCAGTGGAGAGCACACTGAGTGGCCATCACAGACAAGCTTTGACCTACCAGTCACTGCCTGAGGGGCTCTGTCTACTATTAACATCTCCCTGAGCATAAATAGCAAGTATATTTGTGCAAATCTGGAAAGGGAATCCACCTCTCATGTAAGTAGATGCCATTTTTTTTCATAATTAGGACTTGGATTTACTAAAGAATCAGTGCAGTAACTTTACCTGTAGATAGTGCAGATACTCCATTTTCTTCTAGTGACCTAATATAGTATGTCCAGTAAGATTTGTATAAATGTAAATTAGTGTAAGTGAATAAAGTAATACCTACTTACGTTATTTTTCAAACAGATTGCAATATGCCTTTTGTTTAGACGTCAATCCATGTTAATTTTGTACATATTCCATGTCTTACTTTAAACTGCACCTTTTGTGATGTGTATTTATATACAGTGTGCAAAAAACACTTGTGAAATTTAGATTACAGTTGTAATTATGTATGATGGCATTGCTGGAGAATATTTTGCTTGTAAAGACTTTGAAGGTGCAATCAAATGCTCTTAGTTCTTCTATTTTGTTTTGAACAAGCTTTCTCAAATATTAAGCTTGGATTCCTCTCTCCCTTCTCCCTGGTGTAGAGTGTGTGAATTGGGTTTTGTACTTCCTTAGCCATTTGCATCAAACAGCTGGACAAGATTGACAGTCAAGTTCATCCAGTTACATAAAAATAATTGGGAACAGGGCAAGGGTTCATTTTATAGTTCTGTTTACATCCAAAAGTAGAAAAATTAAATTTATATTTACAAGACCTATTCAAAGAATACACTTTTCTATATTGTACAAATTAAACAGTCAGATAAATCACAAAAAAATAAACATTTATACTATTCTGTAAATACGATTTTTTTTGTGCTCCTTTCCTTCAGCAATGACAAATGTACACAGAAGATTCTTCACTGAAGTATCAAATTGAAGCTGTTAACACTAGGTCCACTTCTGATGCAGGTACTGACTTGGATTTTCGGTATGAGACCAAATCCTGCCAGACATAAACATCCCTTAGTTACTGTCATGCATAGCAATCCATGGCATGTTGTGGCACAGTTCATAACAGGCCAAAATATGTCAGCCAACACAGCTCCAGGTGGCTGAGCTCACATAATTTCTCAATTGTTTTTGAGCTCTTTAATGAGAGCAGTTTTTTCACACGGCAGTCAGCGGATGGACAAGAGTTCTGCTCAGACTGAGCGGAAAGATCCGAGTCAGGGAGTCTTAGGAGCATTTTTAGGATGATGAGTGAACAAAAGATGTTACTGGACTGAGCTTTTTCCTTCAGTGCTGTGAGACAAGGCTGTCAGTTGCCTTGGGCTGCAGTAAAGAAGCAATGAGTTGCTCAAAGTGACCTAGGGGTGGGTTCATATGAACAGGATGGAGCTGTTTCAGAGGGAGATGGTGAATGCCTGAGCAGGAAGTTGCTGGGAAGAGAAAGCAACGTCCAAGAGACACTGTGGGAAAAGAAGTGGTGTAGACAATCACTTGGGTGCAACTGTGGAGTTCTGAATGCTGAAAAATTCCAGTGAAACGTGACAGTTCCTGCAGTGAGTGCAGCCAGCAGTATTTGGTGGACAGCAGCAAGTCTGTAGTTCTGGGAAACAGAACTTGTTACAAATTCTTGTAACATTGGATAACTTTATTAAGTTAGGAAACTGCCACACTTCTAATAATGTGGTTTTGCTCAAATGTCATTCTACCAAACCCTGCAAAACTTCCTCAATGTCTCTGTCATCAGTATTTCAGTGAACTACAAAAGGATGTATGAACTGTGGTGGCCAAGGATGGGCAGGTCAGCCACAGGAATGCACAGAGCCCAAGATCAGCCCATCTGTACAGCACCCACCAGCAGCAAGTGTACTAAATCCAGGAGGAATTCAGTGGGAAAGCTCTGTGCACAGCAGAGCTGCTGTGTTCACCTTACCCCAGTGGTCAGGAGCTCTTGTGCTTCTCCCTGCAAGAGCATCCTGATCAGGAGGAGCCTATGAATTGAGCAAGACAAGCTCCTTCAGGTATAAATAGGGAATAGAGCAGGTTTATGTCCAGCTGTGATGAAGTGCCTATTCTTTATGGCTCAGCTCATACTGGGCCTGGGGGTGTAGGCAAGGCAAGTGTTACACCATCATCTACCGCTGGGATTTCAGCAGCATTTTGCCAGTTGTCCTAAAAATTGCATCTATATGGGAAATAGTTCCCTGCAGAGTCTCTTGTAGTTGGAATGGCTCCATGGCAGTGATGGCTTCAACATGACTTTTTGCATAGATAATTGGAGTGGAAAGAAGTCTAGAGGCTTTGGCTTGTTCCTCCCAGCAGAGATTGCATAAGGTTCTGTAGTGCTGCTGCTCTCAAAGCAGAGCTTGAGGAATTGAGTGAGTAGGATTAAAGGGAGGGGATGAAGAATACAAACCAACCAGGGACAGTTTCATCAAGTCACTTGTAGGCAGAATGGCACCTTTAATATTCCTGCCTTAGTATGTGGTGGATCACCATTTTTCATTCCATCTTGAAAGTAACTGAACAGCAAGCATTATGGGAATGAGTTGCCTTCCATCTCTATGGATACAACTGATGTTCTGCATGGCAAAGGGAAGTAATTTAGCAGCAGTTATGCCAAACTTTGCTATTCCAGGTAAAGCACTGGATGCAGCTTCCTTGCCATGGAAATGAACTGATTGAAGAAGTCTGTCCTACTTGGTGGCATCAAAGCTATGATTCAAGTAATAAACATCAAAAGGAGACTGCTTTGTGCCCTGGGCTGCAGGACAGCCCAGCCCTGGGAGGATGGGGCTATGTGGCACAGTTGAGTAGGTGAGCTGATGGGGCCATGTCATGGGACCTGAAACACTCACCCTGCTGCAGCACACCCATGCACTGGTTTGATACTGTAGTCCCCCCAGCAGAGGATCGAGACTTAAACAGCTTGTTTAGCTGTTCGATGAAACATGTAGGTATGGAGATAAGAGCTTAGAACTTGTGTACAACTCAAGTGTCATTTTCATGTCTTTATTCTCAAATAAAAGCTCTGCAAGCTTTCTTGCCTTTAGCTTCTACAAAGCAGATCTCGTGGTAAAATCAAATTGCCAGCACACATGATCCCTCCCACAACTGCATGGAATATGCATCAGTTTCCTCCTGGCAAGAGCACTCATAGCACTAAGCCACCCAGCACCTCTAGGGACCACTGCACTGTCTCCTGCCACTGTCCCAGGCACCTCGAGCAACCATTGTTCATCCTGACCTGCCACACAAGTTTCATGAAATCTGTGGCTGCTTTCCAAGATTGCTCTGCACAGTCAAACTCTGATCAGATAGTTTGCAGTGGCCCAACACACCACTGCTTATTAACACCAGTTTTGTTGGCCACATCATGGGAAGACACCACAGTGTTTCTTCACATATGTTGCTAGATCTGTCCATCAGTGAACCTCAGAGGGGACAGCTGTCCTTGGATCAGCAAAAAGTACTCATCATAGATTGTTAAGAAGTTGGAACGGACCTTAGAGATCATCTAGTCTCAACCCCCACTGCCATGGGCAGGGACACCTCCCACTAGACCAGGTTGGACATGGCCCCATGTGGGTTTAGCTGGACTGACTGCTACCCAGTGGTGGTGGAAACAAGTGTTTTCTCTTCAGTCTCTTCAATCTGTGACTTCCACAAGGGTATTTTAAGTTCAGCTGTTGGGCAGCATTTGTTCTGATGTTTAAGTAACATCGCGTTATTTTCTTCACTAAGATTGTGTAGTGGTTGTTGATGCTCAACTCCCCATTAAATAAGTGGTTTGTGAGGGTGGGGAAGAGAGGGCTTTCTCCCACAAGCTCCTGGAGCACTTTCTGTTCTAGAGACAAATGCCACAACTTAGTGTTTTTGTTGCCATCTCCCACTTTGCCATACCACTTTAGGAGCTGTTCTGAAACGCTTGTTATGCGGTACACACTTGCTGAGGGCAGACTCACTCCACCTAACTTTTTTACGTAGAGCACTGACCTGCCTCTTAGCCTGCTCTCATCTGACTCAAAGAGGGAAGCAAGGCAAGCCTCACACTGCAAGTCAGAGGCCAATTGCTCAGCCACAAAGCCAGCAGAGCAGGTGATGCTCTGTGCGTACAGTGACAGGTCTGTCAGCGCATCACCCAGGGCAGAGCTGTGCAGCAGGAGACCTGCACAGCAGGGGTACTCTGCTGCCACTGTCCTCCCACAAACTGGGTTATACTGAGCACGAATGCTGCCAAGGGTCAGGTCTCTCCTACGAGACAGGGATACGTCCAAGGAGCTGCGTGGTGAGCCTGGTGAGAGGCTGCAGCTGGCCAGCAGGCTGTGATAAGCAGCCTGGAATGCAGTGCAGGTAAGATTCCCACTGCTGCCACAGGCTTGTTGGATGGCCCTGAGAAACAGCTCCAGCGGGTCGAGGCTGAAGGCATGGGTCTGGAGGTGGTGGGAAGGAGTGCCTTCTGGGCATGTGTAGTTGGAGTAAAGCCACTTGAGGCTTTCAGCATTGAGCAAGAAACTCAGAAATCCTAGTTTGCGTTTGCCCTTGATAATGTATCTCCCCATAGAGTCTGTTAAGGTGGCAAAGCAGCTCTTGGCCTCATTGAAGAGGTGGTTTATTTTGGTGTAATTTCCAGCTAGCAAAGGCTCCTTCAGTCCCTTTCCATAGGGATCTCTGCCATAAAACACCTCACACAGAGAGCTCATCAAACGCACAAACTTGGCGGTGCCACTGCAGTTCTGAAACGAGGGCAGGCCCAGCTTCTGCAGGTGTTCCAGTGCCTCAGCAACACCCTCACTGAACAACAGGGCAGCAAGGTTGACCTTCAGGTGGTAACTCTCTTTGCTCCCAGATCTGCCTGACTCAAGACTGCATGGCTCTAACACCCTCTGCTCCCGCAAAGCTGCCAGCTCCACCACATGCTGCCACCACACAGTGCCACTGAGCCACTGGACCTTCTGGAAGCACTGCAGAGCATTCCTTACGAGCTGGAGAGCATGATGAACGTCAAAGAAGTATGTGATGCTCTGAACAGAACCTGGTGGGTGCTGGAAAGTGCACCGAGTCCTTTTGGGATCCATCCTGATGCCCAAAGCTCTGGCAGTCTCAGCACCACGAGCAGAGGCACCCGATGTCACAGCCAGGACTCTGATCCCAATGTTGTTCAGCTTATTGATGGTCTGACGAAGCAGCTGAGCAAGTAAGCAGCCAGTTGTGCTGGTCACGAAGAAGTAGCCAAGTGGAGCTGTCCAGGGACTTGAGATGCCAACTGCCATGAGGACAATCACTTCTGAGGCCAGGGGAGCCTCATCAGCATCAAGCATGCCTGCTCCCACGTCAACAAAGCCTGTCAGACACTTGGTCTGTGGGTCCCACTCCTGCTGCTTCTGCAGGGACAGGTCTTGTACCATCACAGCACAGTAGCAGTAGGCCTGTTCCCCTTCCTCTATCTTCTCCTGAAGCCGGAGAAAAATGTCATTGCTGAAGCCTGCAGCAGCCTCAGTGTTAGACAGCCAACTGGAAAAAAAAAAGGGAGGATGTGATTAGGAGTTGTGGTTCTTAGAAAGCTGAAGCAACAATCAGTACCTTTAGCTACTTAGGCCATGGTCAGCCATGCCTGGAGCTGCAGAGCTGGCTAAGACACAGACTGAAGCAAGCAGCCCTGCCTTTCTTAATGTGTGTTCTGAGTTTCTTTCCTCACACCCTAGTCCTAGGAAGCCAAGGCAAGTACTGACCATGGAGGGAAGTAACAAAGCAGTTGCCTGTCCTTCCAATGTATAAGATCACATGACAACATGAAACAAAAAATTAAACCAAACATAGAAGTGCGTATCAGGCTATGCAGAGGGGCAGCAAACACCAACTGGCTTTCTCCACACTGCACCTCATAATCCAGTTTGTGAAACCCTCAGCAGTCTGTCTTGAATGCTACTCTTCTCAATACACTCCATCCACTGCCTGCTGACACCCCTTTGAGCAGATTCCTTAGAGGAAGCTGTGTAAAAACCCTACAGCCTGGCATGGGCAATGTGCATATCCCCTGGGCACCCTCCAACCGCCCTACAGGAATCTGAGACTTTAAACCTCCACCAGGAGAGTTTCTTCAGCCTTTGTTACAACTTCTTGTTAATGGGTCTGATAAGCACTTGAGGTAGTAAATTCTGACAAGCAGCCTGGTGTGTTGTGCTGTGACCCACATGCAGGAACACATTCCAGCTCTCTGAAATGAGGCCTATCAATATTTCTTGATGCTTTCTGCTCTGCTTCCATCACTAAAAACAAAGCAGGGAAAACCACAAGCGCTGAATGTCTTCAGGTCAGATCTGTTACACCAATTTCTACACGAGTACCTGGAAATCAATTCAGAATGAAAGAATGAGTGAATAAAGACTTGCTTGGTCAGGCTGTAAGGATGAGGAAGGGGAAAAATCTTCCGTAGATAATCATAGGCCTTAATATGGTAGAGGTGGAGGATACAAACAAATTGCCTCATTTCTGGTGAGTATTTTGCTCTTTGCCTCCAGCTGTGCAACTCACAAGGCAAATCTGCTCAAAAGAAAAAAAAGAGGTCAGCTTTAGTGAAGCAAGTAACAGAGGGATGCATCACAAACACTGGGGTGGCCTCTGGAACCACTCAGTCCTGAAGTCTGGTGTGAACATGTGCCCTACCACCCTGAGGCTAAGTTCCCAACGTCTTTCCCCTTTTCCTACTTAATGTCATTCTGCAGTTTTGAGTAAAGACTGAAACTTACATGTGGGTGCTGCTTAACAACTGACATAGCAAGAAAGAAGCCAGTAACTTACAGTCGACTCTGTGATTTCAAGTGGCTTCTTCATGTTATATCATCAATGTTAGCAGAACTTGCTTCTGAGCAGCAGAACAGACAAGGTTTTCCCAGTTAAACACACTCTATTCTTGAGTCACCTGATAGCTGAAGGTGGCACAGTTTAACACTTTTGGTTAACGATCTTACCAGAACACCCTCAAGCAATTGAATTTTTTGAGGAGATTTTAATTCTTCGCACAATTGGTTCTTGCAGTCCAGACCTAGAAATCAGAAAGCCTTTGTGCTACAGCACCAGACCTAGGAGACTAACAGTTGGGGATTACCACAAAGTTAAGCAAAGACATAGAACTGGGGGCAAGGGAGTGCACCCCGCGGAGCACTCTGCCTCGACAAGCATCCCCGGCAGTACCTGAAAACTGTGCTCGCAGCAAACTCACGATTTCCTCAGAAAGCTGCTGCTTCTCCACCAGCTCCCTGAGGATGCTCCGCA